AAGAAAGAAAGAAAGAAAGAAAGAAAGAAAGAAAGAAAGAAAGAAAGAAAGAAAGAAAGAAAGAAAGAAAGAAAAGAAAGAAAAAAGAAAAAAAGAGAGAGAAATCTTGTCAACTCAGGTCACCTGACCAAACAACATCAGATCGTTATACCTTAAACCAACCTTCTCTTATGGTCTGAGTCTATTCAAAAAGTGTGATTTCCTAGTTCCAGAAAAATTAAAATATCCAGCTAAGAGTATCTCAAATACAATAGAAATAAGTTTGAGGCCTATGAGGACAAAAAATACTCTCATGTGTTTGTAAAGCAAATAACATGTATAACCACTTGGTTAAAAAGGTAAATCATAAATAAAATTATGAACACCTTAGAACTCAAGAGCAATTAAAACATCACATGTCAAAAACATGGGGGACCAGTAGGTGGCATGGTGGTTAAGTAACATGTATAACCACATGGTTAAAAAGGTAAATCATAAATAAAATTATGAACACCTTAGAACTCAAGAGCAATTAAAACATCACATGTCAAAAACATGGGGGACCAGTAGGTGGCATGGTGGTTAAGTCGCTGGACTCCCACATGGTCAACTGTGGTTGGAGTCCCAGACATGGTGGCTTGCTTTCTCACTTTCTCTCTCAGGTGCATTCATGTGCCCTATAGCAAATTACAGAAAATAATAATAATAAATTAAATTTTAAAAAATTTGTGGGAAACAGAAAGATATTTAGAGCTTTACATAAATTCATGAGAAGGCCAGCTCCATAGCACAGCAGTTTAGTGCTGTGCATAAGGAGCTGGATCTTACATGGCCAATTGCAGTTTGAATCTCAGCCCTTGCAGCCTGAGGCATGCATGCCCAGAATCCTAATGAGATAGAGAAATGGAGAAAAAAGGATTGCAGTGTTACCATACTCCAATGGGTAGGGGTTAGGGGTAGGGAGTTGAGGGGATGAATTCTCTCTCTCTCTCTCTTAAGTATACATACACTCTGGCAATAGAAAAGAAAAGATTAGTTGTTAAAAAATACATTTATCAAAAATAATTTTTGGGAACCAGCAGTTAGCGTAATGGCTATGTCGCTGGACTCCCACGTAGTCGACCGCGGTTCGTGTCCCGGACCCGGTGGCTTAAAACTCACGCCGGACGCGCGTGCGTGTGTGCCCAAGATCCCGAGAGGTGAATGGAGGAGAAGGGATTGTGGCATGGCCACTCCACATCACCACGGGGATGATTTCTCACTTTCTGTCTCTCTGTCTCTCCAGAAAGTGCACATGCCAAATGTAGCAAAAATCTCTCCAAAAAAAAAAAAAGTTTTTACCTCCCAAGTATGCATACAAGAACTCAAGATCCAATGGGATAGATGACTGAGAAAGGGGATCACTTCATGACCAGACCCTGTGGAGTTTCTATATCTCTATCTTTCTCTATCCTTCTCTCTTTCTCTCTAATTCTCATGTACACACACACACACACACACACACACACACACATATTCTATCATGAATAAAAGAAAAAAATTAAGAAAAGAGAAAGTTTTAAAATGACGTAAGCATTTACATCAAAAAGTTGGGAAAAGTGAGAGAAACAAAGCACCCAAATAAAATACAAGGAAGAAAATAATACACGTAAAGGGGGGAAAAATCATAAAATGAAGGAAAAAGGAAATTGAATTAAAAAACAGAACCAGGTAATTTGAAAAAACAGAAAAAAAAAGTAAGATCCACAGGCTTTAGGCAAGAAAAGGGGAGAGAAAGACACCATTATGATGTGTGTCTACAAAATATGTGTGTGTGTTTACATATATATGTATGTATATATAAAATAAACTCCAACAATACACTAGAAAATTATATGAATAGCTAAAAAGCCATTGCAGCTTCTCGGATAAACCTACACATGCAGGGGCTAGATGATGGCACAGCAGTAAAACACAACACCATGAAACAATCCCACATGGAGAGGCTCCCTGTTCAAGTCCAGAGACCTTCCTGAGTACACTAGGCACATGCTTGGCCTTGATCCAGGGTTGGCTGAAGGCTGGGGATGGATTGCAACATCAAGACCCTATTGGGGATGTTGTCTCTGTTTCTGTCTCTCTCTGTCTCTCTCTTTGTCACTCATGGAAAAAAATAATGAAAAACTGTACGTATTTTTATGAAAAAACTGAATACTGACCAGATATTGATGAGGTAAAGAATTATTGTTCTTTTTCTTAGTGTGATAACCACATTGGAATTGTTTTTGTTTTAATTCTGTATCTCTTATACGTAATAATAACATATTTACAGAAAAATAATGTCTTAGTGGTTTTTTTCTCAATAATACAGAAAATGTGGAGAATGGATAAAATATAAATTTCAAAAGACTGACCATGAATTTGTAATTATGGTAATGGATACATGGGTGTCTGTTATAATAATCTGTCTAATTTTGTCTATGTTTGACATTTTCCCTAATTCCCAAATGTCTAAAATAATATATTTTGCACAAGACTACCTATATAGATAGATAGATAGAGAAATAGATATAGAGATAGAGATATAGAGATAGAGATGATATATAGATATAGATAAAGATGATATAGATATAGAGAAAGATTAGGACCAGCCAGTATGGTGGCTAAGATGGCTGGATCTCACATGGCTGATTGCATGGTTTGAGTCCCAGACCCAACAGCTTGAAAAGCACACTAGGCATGTGTCCGTGCATGTCCAAAATTCCAAAGGGAGAAATGGAGGAGAAGGGATTGTGGCATAGCCATCCTGCATTGGGGGTTGTTTTTTTGTTTCTCTCTCTCTCTCTCTCTCTCTCTCTCTCTCTCCCTCTCTCTCTCTCTCTCTCTGGTAAATCCACAAGTCCTCTGGCAAAATTTTAAAAAGAAAGAAAAAAGTTAGAGTTAGACAAATATATGTCTTATACATATGACATATATGTGGATTTTATTTAGCATAAATGTGACATCTGGAAATTCTTTTTCAATGGAAAAAGGATCGTTTGGTAGATGTTTGGAGGAAAACTGACTCACTGTATGGAGAAAAATAAACCATAATCTTCCAGGACACTGGATTCAAATATAGAATCCAGATGGATTAGAGACCAACAAGTAAAAGGTAAAAACTATAAAGTTAATGGGGAAACAAATAATATCTTTATGACTTCAAGAAAGAGAAGTTCTTATTTTATTTTTTTTTTAAAGAGAGAATTTTGCAATCCATGGGTGGCATGGTGGTTAAGGCGCTGGACACTCCCACATGGCTGACTATGGTTTGAGTTTCAGACCTGGTGGCTTGCTTTCTCACTTTCCTTTTCTCTGCAAGTCTGTCTTTCTCTGGTCAAATTAAAATAAATGAGTGAATAAATAAAATTAAAATAAATAATTATTTTTAAAAAGAGAGAGAGAGGGAATTTTGCTATAGGGCATGTGCAGTTACTGGAAAGACAGAGAAAGACAGAGAGATAGGAACAAGAAATCACCCCCTGGGGGGGATGGCCACTCTGTAATTCCTTCTTCTTCAGTCTCCTCTCAGGAATTTCAAGCCACTGAGTCTGGGACTTGAACCATAGTCAACCATGAGAGAGCTTGGTGATGTAACCACTATGCCATCTGCTGGTTCCAAAAGAGAATTTCTTTTGAAAAATACTTCAAATCTGTAAAACACAAGGCATGGACCAGCCAGATGGCATGGTTGTTAAGATGGTTGGATCCCACATGGCTGACTGTGTGATTTGAGTCCCAGACCTGGCAGCTTGAAAAACACACCAGGTACACGAACATGTGTGCCCAAAATCCTGAAAGAAGAATAGAAGAGAAGGAATTGTGCTGTGAACATTCCTCATGGGGTTGCTTTCTCACTTTGCCTCTCTCTATATATATATAACAAAATTATTAATTTGATTTTATCAAAATTATGGATATATGTTTAATAAAAGTATCAATAACACAAGATGAAATATTACAAGAATGTATTACAACATTGAAATCCAAAGTGAACTGGTAACTATAATAGACTATTCAATGAACTACTCATTAACGAGAAAAAGACAAGAATTCAATAGAAATATACTCATATTTTCTGAAAACAAAATGCCAGCAGGTGGCATGATGGTTAAGGCACTGGACTCCCAAATGGCTGACCACAGTTTGAGTCCCAGACCTGGAGGCTCACTTTCTCACTTTCTCTCTCTCTCTTTCTCTCTCTCTCTGGTCAAATTAAAATAAATGAATGAACATATAAAACTAAATAAATAGTTCTTCAAAAAAATACAAAAAGCTAACAAGCACATAAAAAGATGCTCACGCCAATTAGTGATAAAAGGATGTAAGTTAAACACTGGTCTGAGGTGTAGTTCATATTGGGTAAATTCTCTTTACAAGCTAAATGATGTATAACAATTGAATGTATAAAATGATAGTAATAATAAAAAAGAAAAAAGATAGAAGTTAAAACAACATTGAGATATATTACTTTAAGTCTATTGACTTAAAAAAAATTAGAACACTGGATACTGCCAAGTGTTGGCAGAGATATGGAAAATTGAAATATTTATGCATTTCTGATAGGATCTTAATATGGATAGGCCTTCAGTGTGCTGGCAAATGTCTAACAA